CGACAGACCGGTACAACGCCTGCATCACCAATGCAGCACCAATCCGCCTATCGATCTCATGCTCGTTTTCCCTCACTCGTGAACAAGACCCCGAGATACTTAAACTCATCCCTGACCTGGAGAAGGCATTCTACCCTTTTCCGAATCAAGACCATGGCCTCAGATTTAGAGGAGCTGATTCTCATCCCAGCTGCTTCACACTCGGCTGCGAACCGCTCCAGCGAAAGCTGAAGATCACGTTCTGATGAAGCCAACAAGACCACATCATCTGCAAAAAGCAGAGACCTGATCCTCATGCCACCAAAACGGATGCCCTCCACACCTTGGCTGCGCCTAGAAATCCTGTCCATAAAGGTTATGAACAGAATCGGTGACAAAGGGCAGCCGTGACGGAGTCCAACTCTCACTGGGAACGAGCTAGACTCACTGCCGGCAATGCGGACCAAGCTCTGACACCTGTCATACAGGGACCTAACAGTCCCTATCAGAGGGCGTGGTACTCCATACTCCCGGAGTACCCCCCACAGGGCCCCCGAGGGACACGGTCAAACGCCTTCTCCAAATCCACAAAACACATGTAGACTGGTTGGGCAAATTGCACCATCCAGGAAGCGTATAGGGCTGGTCCAGTGTTCCACGGCCAGGACGAAAATCACATTGCTCCTCCTGAATCTGAGGTTCAACAATCCAATGGACCCTCCTCTCCAGAACACCTGACTTGACCTTGGACCCCCCCCGAGGCGCCGGATGGTGGACCAGAATCTCACCCAGAAGGGTGGGTAGTCTGAACTGTAGTTTGGTGCATAAGCACAGACCACAGTCAGAACCCGTCCCCCCACACGTACGCGGAGGGAGGCTACCCTCTCATTCACTGGGGTAAACCCCAACGTACAGGCACCAAGATGGGGGCAACTAGTATGCCCACCCCTGCTCGGCGCCTCTCAGTGGGAGCAACTCCAGAGTGGTAGAAAGTCCAAGCCCTCTCAAGGAAACCGGTTCCAGAACCAGAGCCATGCGTTGAGGTGAGTCAGACTTTATCTAGTCGGAACCTCTCAACCTCACACACCACCTCAGGCTCCTTCCCCACCAGAGAGATGACATTCCATGTGCCAAGAGCCAGCTTCTGTAGCAGAGGATCAGACCACCAAGGTCCCCGCCCTCGACTACCACCCGTCACACACTGCACCCAACCCCTATGGCCCCTCGCACGAGTGGTGAGCCCATGGGAAGGGGGACCCATGTTTCCTCTTCGGGCTGTGCCCGCCCGGCTCCATGGGTGAAAGCCCGGCTACCAGGGGCTCACCAATGTGCCCCACCTCCAGGCCTGGCTCCAGAGGGGGGCCCCGGTGACCCACGTCCGGGCGAGGGAACACGGTTTCCATTTATATAATTCATCATAAGAGGTCTTCGGGCTGCTCTTTGTCTGATCCGTCACCTAAAAATTGTAGTATTTGGTTTAAATCATCTGACAGTTTTCCCATTTTCTACTTCCTGTGGTTTATTCCGGAGCATATTGGCGGATTTAATGTGATGTACGAGTTAAAAATCCTTCTCAGAAGTCCTGACATCCACCCTGGCATACAAATCCACTGTCACATGCAGAATTATTAAAGTGAGCGTCTTCTTAATAAATCCCCTGCTGTGTGACTGAAACGGTGTAGAACACGCCACAGATGGGGGAAGTGAAAGCAATCAATAGGGCCATCATCTGAAGTGAAATAAAAAACCGCAAAGCCTTGAAGTTCAGATGAATCTGTAATCTCTATTCTGAAGCAGAATTCTGCTTGTGTTGGTCGGGAGAGTCGGAGCTTTGCCTTTGAAATATTATTCATTCTTCCTGCAATTCATTTCCCGTCTCCTGCGATCTCAGAGAGAAATGTTTTCCTTGTTCCCTTTCACTTCTTCCTCCGGCCTACAACGGTGTAAAATACATTCTTTTGAGGAAATAACACCGCAACGAGACAAACGTGTGTTGTGCACCGCGGCCTTAAAAGGTGCTTTCAGTGGAGTTTGAGAGAAAATAGGTCAACCAAGACATGGCACCACAGACGTTCACAACAAAGCAGTAATAGCAACAGATGTTAGCATGCGCACAAACACACACACACACACACGCACGCACGCACGCACACACACACACGCGCACACACACACACACACACACACACACACACACACGCACGCACGCACACACACACACGCACACACACACACACACACACACACACACACACACACACACACACACACACACACACACACACACACACACACCTTCAAACTCTCAGAGTCTTGGTTTTACCTGCTCCAGTCTTTTAGGACATCAGAATCTAATCGGCATGACGTGAAGCAGACGGGCATGTTGGAGGAGGAACAACAGGAGTTATTCCTCCCTGAGGATGGATGAAGCCTGTTTTGGATCACAGCCACGTGTGTTTACCATCTGAGTGGGTGGGGGAGTGTTGTTTATTGCTGCACGCTCTTTGACCATAAAGGGAGACGATTCACAGACTGTTGATACAGATCAGACTACCTAAAAAAACAAAAAGGTACCAACAACCAACATGTACCAGGAAACAACTCCTGATTCCATCTCATATTTCTTGTTTATGTATAAATAAATGAAGATATGGGTCGGTCTGAAGTAAAAATAAAATTTCTGATGATATCATGAACAGTTGAATTTTGGGTATTCAGTTAAAAACCAAAGAAAAAACATACTTGTGGGAAGTTTGCTAATATTATTTTATGATATTACAACCTGCTCTGACTTTTGCAGCATTCTTCCATCCAGTCATGAATGAAAATGGTGTACAATATTACTGAAGGTGTAGTTTTGTTGTCCATAAATATCTTAACCATTACTTTTTAAAAAAGAACGTGTACCGTTGAAACCTAACCAAGTAGATGTAGGACTAAAACAACCACATAATTAACCAGTTTTAGTGCCTAAACCTAGAATCTAACAAGTTTAATGTTGAATTTACTTAACCAAGTTATGCTAACTGGTTCCACTAAACCTAGTAATGAGTCACATACATTGTTATTCGTCATTATGCTAGAAATAAATGTATGTTACTTTTTAAATTTTAAGCAGCAATTCAGAGCTTTCCCCATTTTCAGGAAATCCGTAAAAGTGATATAATGTAGGCAATACCTCACTTTTATCTTTGCTAAGCGTGTCCCCGTCCCACAGCAGCCCCTGCAATTTGAATTGAGCGCCACTCAGCATTAGCCAATGGTGTTAGACATCCGTTTACATACAGATGTCAATCACAGAGCCAGTGAGCATGTTTGCAGAAGTACTTGTGCTGATGCAGAGTTGGTAACATCTCGTGTACATATAAACAGCACAACATAAGAATATTCATATAGTGTTTTAGCTCTGTTGGCGTGTTCACAAATGACAGGCGCTGCTTCCAGCTGTAATGACAGAAGTAGGGAGAGGAGCTTAAAGGTGCAATTCATTTCTCTAGATGGTGCCCTCTGAAATAAAACTTCGGATTTCTGATTTAAAGAGGTCCTTCATTCGTATTTTTGATACATTTGCAGTGGTCTCCAGTAGAAATGAATGCCTTGTAAGTCGTACTATAGGGAAAAAAGTTCAGATGTGCCTGTTTTAGGAATTCAGGAACACCAATCATTTAAAGCTTCTCCTGATGTCTACATTGTTAACCAACCTGAACTAAAATAGTTGTAGGCTTTCAGTCTCTTAAAAGGCTTTTGGTTTGCAGTGGAATATGAGATTTGCCACGAGATAGTTTATGTCGATGGCTTCAGTGTTGGATAAATCCTCCAGCAAAATAACAGCATTTGTTGAAAATGTTCTATGCATACGTACGTATAATGTTAACTGCACACTTTCAATAAATGAACCTAGTGTTTTATAGGTTCAAATAGACACAAAATCTTGTTTGTATTCATTCTACTGGTAGTTTATTTTTCTCAAATTGAAATTGAGGCCTGCCTCTAATGGGCCATTCCCATCTGTACCGGGTCGGCCCCGGGCCGGGTAGCCCCAGTCGGCCCCAGCCTGGCCCAGTTGATTCCACACACCCTTGTCTTAAGCCCATGTGGGCTGATTCTACCCACCAATCAGAGGCTTGCTCTAATGGAAGGTATGAATTTGCTGTCAGCAGTGGGTGTGTTGGCCCTGGTCGGCCTGAAGCAGACCCCCTCGAGAAGAGGGCCGAGAATGAGCCTTGGTTGGCCCGGAAAAATACCAGGCCACCCAGATATGTAAACAACCTACGCTACCCAGCCCGGGCCGACCCGGTACAGACGGGAATGGCCCATAATTCTGGCCTCCCTCCAATAAAGGCCTGAACTAGGATGCACTTGAGTAAAAAAAAGGCCTGGGCCTGTATTAGAGGATTTACGGTATACTATATTAAAATGTTGTTGAAAATGTTTTTAAGCTAACTTGTCTTCCAAATCTGTGATTGTAGCTTTAAGCAACAGGTTTAGTGGAAACAGTTGGCAAAACATGGTTAAGAAAATTCAACATTTTAACTTTTAAGACTGTAAGAGATTAAAACAGAGTAGTTAACATGAATTAATAATTCACTGAGTCATATTTAAAGCTACAATCTCTTCTCTGCCCTGATGAAAATCTCCAGAAGCTCTACGTTTCTACAGCCTCGGACAGCGTTTACCATCTCTGCGGTGTGTATTTCAGGTGCATGAGTGGATTTGACAGACTCACAGTAAGGGGTGCAGTGGAAATGAGAACAGGGTGTTTATTTATTGTTATTTTTAAACCTATTTTTACTTATAAGGTGTGGCCTTTCTCAGCATGCAGTACAAAACTCCACCCAACCATCAGAGCAAATGCCCTCAGATAAAAAGATCTGTTTTAATTAGAAGTTTTGAAAGAATTAAAATAAGTAGGGCTGGATGATTTCTGCTTGAATTCAAAGTTTTGTGTATTTTTCATCCACAAACTCGTCTTTGTGAACTGATAACAAAAAAAAAACAAAACAAAAAAAGGATAACAAAGGTTTTCGATCTAACGTTCATCATTTATTTAGAAAATGTTCTTTTACCTGAGAGAATCCTTCAATAGCATCCTTTACCCAGTCACAAAAGGTCTTTAGTGTTTGTGTGTGTGCACGTGTGTGTGTTCACAGGGTTATGCTGATGCTCTCATGGAATGGTGCAACATTTTCTCTGAAAGTTCAGATTAGACAGAAAATATATAAAACTCACTCAGTTATTGCACTTTGTTAAAATTACTGTAAACTATTAAAAAAAACATTTAGCCTAAAGGCTGTTTTAACTTTTGGGGTAAACTAATTTAAATAAACATTCAATTGATAAATATGTACATTTTTAAGGATATTTCCCCCTTTATAAAGAGTTTGGGCCTTTCAAAGTGCTTTCAGTTAAGTGCTGATGTAAGCAGAAGGTCAGCAGGGCATGATGCCATTTGTTTGTGTACCTAATTCAAAATCAGATTTAGAACGTAAAGCAGAATCCTGTTTTTGGTCAACTTAAACTAGAGTGCAACCCATCAAACTAATGGTACACCAACTTGGTCACAGGGCGAGTATTTAAGGTGTCACACTGATATTCCCGAAGGTCTAAATTTAGCTGCTGGATTTAATTTGTAAGTCTGAAACTCTAAAAGCATCCAACAATGAGAGCATCACATGACGCAAACATAAGCAGAACCCAAACTGTGACACACATGCACACACACACGCAACACTCACGGAGCATTTTACAAAAAAAACAAACATCACATCTCATAAAATCCATGTTCTCCACCACATCCAAAGTCACCCTCCTACTTGTCTGGGACCCAGACTGCAGTGAGGGGTTTCTGCACCTCAGGACCAGCCAAACAGCAGGGTTCGAGGCCAGCTTCACTGGGAAGTCCGGGTGTTTGCCCATGTAAAGTAGCAAGAGTGTTTGGGTCACGCAAAGAGCCTCTGGAATTCAAGCCAGGCTGAATTTGATTTCATAAGTGAGGCTGGCTCATTGTTGTTACGACAAGCCTGTCGTATGGAGGGATTTGGAGAGGAGATTGCATAGACAACTTTCTATTTGCATGCCTCAATAAACTCTACATTTGGTTTGGAAGGGGAACATAAAAACAAAAGACATTATAGACAATCTACACTCTTGTCCAAAGCACAGACGTGGGCGAACGAACCAGATTATGTGAGGGAATGAGCTCCGAAGCTAAGCAGAAAGGCTCGGTTTGCCTTAAAAGGTGCTCTAATTGAATTTGGAACAGACGGAAACTAAAGGTCACAAAAATTAAACCTCATGTACACTTCATGCCACTTGAGCAGATTAGTTATCTAATAAAAAAAATCTGCTAGGTTACATAGAAAAAAAAAACAAGTCAGAAATTTAATGAGTGTAACAGGTCAAACTGTTTTGTCTCCAACCCTGCAGGACTTCCAGACTGGTTTCAGGGAGCCACTGGAGCTTTGGACAAGCGTGCAGATCTACTTTGTGATGCGAACATTTAGCAGCAGGGTTCATTTCTCTGAACTCCACTGATCTCCTCTCCTGCAAACACTCACAGCGTTACGCTTCGAGGACTGCTGCTGACTCCATTGGCGCGCACACCAGCAGATCCAGAGCCACTGGTGTGCAGCATTTCATACTGGGGTAACACTGTGAAGGGCTGGCTTGTATCTCTTTGCAAACAAGAGGAGGCACAAGGGTTGTGATTAATGTCAAGGGGCACTTTTTGAATATGGACCTGCATGCACATGTGGGAGCGTGCACACACACACACACACACATAGAACTTGTAACGAGCACTTACACATTTCTCTGCTTCTCCACAGACATGACAATGGGATGGAGCTATGTTTACTTTTTCTTTACAATGATTCTTGAGTGTTTTATGTTTGTATTTACATCCTTAGTTATGGCCCAAAATACATAAAAGAAAAACAAAATCAGAACAGAAAACATACAAAAGTACATAGCATAGTATTGCACCTTGCAAATGGGCAATATATATTCTCAGTTTTTTTATTTATTATATTTTTTTATTTTTATTTCTTCTTTTGTTTTTAACTTTCTATAACGACTGGGTGACACCACTACTCCTTCTGCTGGTGTGTGGAAGTTAGGTTGTGGGAGCCGGTTCAGGTCCAGCGCCCCCTCTGTCAGCTACATTCAGCTCCATAAAACAATCAGCCGTTACAGAAGGACAGATCCCCCAGTCTCTGAGCCATTCACAGTTACAGACTGCACCTTAAAACGGGTATTTCAGACAGTTTCAAGTGTTTTTCTGTGTCAAAGCTATAAACAGTCTCTATTTCACCGATGTACTGTTGTAAATACCTTCCAGAATCAACCTGATTGTGACTGGCTTGCAGGCCTGATGAGCTAATTGCTGGTCTGAGTGAAGCCAAGACCTAAACAATTGATCCAATCTACTGAATTTCACAACAGTTGATGCAGGCATGACTTTATAAACCTTTACAGGGTATTATGTGTTTGCTTATAAGTATCAGCAGTCAGGAGGGGCTTTTGTAATCCCTTCAATTTAACTTGTACACATAGAAACACCTAAAAATGTCCACAAATCCCTTTACATAGGGACCAAAGCTGAATCATTTTCATGTTAAAGTTTCACCTTCCACCAAATCAGTAAAAAGGCACCAAGGGTTGAGGGAAGAGTCCTTTAGTAACTTACTCTGATCTGTTCACACAAGCACATTAAATTTTTTTTTTTACCTTTTATATTCATCTATGCACTCTTCCATGTGCCGGCAAAACTCCTCCCAAGTTTGTCTGAGTTTTGTGTTGTGTGAGGTAATGACAAGATTGTGTTTCAGTTAAATTTTTTTTGTCTGTTTCAGTTTAAGGTTGCATTTTTTTTCTTTCTCCAAAGTTGTTTTTCATTTAAAAAAAAGAAGAGAGAGAGAAATATATATATAAGTATAAAAAAGAAATTCCCGTTTTGTTGGTTTGCGAGATCCTGCTGATAAAAAGGGGGACGGAAACTGGACACACACACACACAAAGGGGTTATGAACACAAAAGAGACAGACGTGTAAAAAGAAGTGAAACAGTTTCTATGTTACACTGCACGCATGGTCAAAAAAGTGACTACAGCCGTTTGTTTTCTCTCTCTCTTTTACACAGAGCAGTTAAAGCGTCAAAATACAAACAGAAATAGAAGTTAACAACGAGGGGGAGAAACACCTCCGATCATTTTCTTTTGGAGTCTCTTTTTTAAAAAGTCTTTTCTTTTCATTTGTTTCTATTTTTTCTCGTAAGGTAAAGCAGCATTTTAACCCCCTCAGTCAACACACATACCCAGTCAGCTCAACGAGGGACGTCCAATCTTCCTCCTGTTCTTTTACAAAGACGTGATTCAATCCTGCACCTCTGGAATGTGGGATCTCCTTTCTGACCCTCACGGGAGTAAAAGTAGGAGCTGAGAGGGAAAAGTTTGGGAGCAGAGGTTAATGTGAGGCCGTAGGGGGGGGGGGGGGATCCCAACATTTTCCCATTCGTGTCTCTACAAACATCCATGTCGATGATGGCAGTGAGGGTTGAGGCCCACAGCTTTTATCTTCTCCTCACATTCTCATTCTTTCTTGCAGCGACTGCTTTTGCCGTTCACATTCAATCGGTGGTGCTGCTCCGACGGCAGCTATGGCCAGCCTTGTCTCACAAGGGAGAGGCCCGGATCCTGTTTGGTGTCAGCGATTCTCAGCCAAACTGGTGGCAAACTACTCAGAGGTGAGTGACAGCTAGAGGTCTGGAGGAGAGGGAAAAGCTAAGGTTTGAAATGTGGACCGACTACGCTACCGGGCGGTTGACGGGATGATTCAAGAAGGGGTAAGTGCTAAAAGGCCCTCCTGAGCAGGGATCTCCTCCCACCCTCCTTTACTGTTGGTCTAATACTGATGACAGGACAGGTTTGGGACTGAGCCCACTGGATCTGTTACACAGGGATGCCAGACTGGATGATTGAGGGGTTAAAGGGAGGACCGCTGCAGTAGTGCAAAAAGTCCCACCAGCCTGGCTGAGTGAGGCTGCGATGGTGGTTTGAGCTACGCTCCAGGGAGGGTGATGCGGAAAGCAGGAGGGTGATGATGTGCTTCAGGGAGGGGATTGCTTCCTCCTTTCTTCATGACTTGATTGTTTCTCCGATGGCTGTAATCATCCTGTAAAAGTGGCCATGTTATCGTCTGAGTGGTAAACCCATTTAGATTTGGCTTGGCCCCAGAACTGGAATGAACAGAGTGGGCTCGGTGAACAAATCCTGGTTTCGTAGCTTTGATATCTGCCACGGATGACTGACAGGTGAGATTGCGGTCATAGTGGTGAGGAAATAAAAAATAAAAGAACTGAGAGAAATCCATCTGCTGCTGTCCAACGCTCAGTGGCGACCATACCTGGAACATTGATGCCAACACCTTTCTATGCTTTCTGTTTCGGGGGTGAAGCCACTGCTGCTTTTCAGTCCTGTCCACCCTCCTGAGACGGGGTCCAGCCTGTCCTCTGCAGCAGCTGAGAGTCTGCCTCTGCTTTATTTGACAGAAACGGGTAGAGCAACATGTCCAAAAGGATGACACTTGGTCCCAAAGAACAGAAAACGAGACAAACCCAGATGTGATGGGTACCATTCCCTGGAGGTGGGGAAACCTTGCAGGGGTGATGGTTGGCCCTCCTGTCTTTAATTCATCTGAACCAAGTGTGTGTGTTTGAGTGTTTTCTGACAAAAACAAACAAACAAAAAAAAAACTATGAACATGTGTGTCTAGACTGGTGTATGTCTGGCTAAAGGCAGAGAAGTGAGGTAGTGCCTGACACTGTGGGGCAGCAACGTCTGCCCCATCACTGGGGTGTGTCCATTTTGAGGTAAATGGTAGCCTTCTGGGCATTTCTGCCCACTCTCAGTGACACCCATGGTTTTAAAAAATAACAAAACTAACAAAAGGCAAGTGTGTATGGATGCCTGGAGGGGCCACACGAGCTGAGTCCAGGAGAAGGGGACTCTGTAGAAAAACCCGGCAGGTTAGGGCCAGCAACAAAACACTGACGTGCAGTGAGAACAGTAAAATGAGGCATTCATGTTACTCTGAGGTGAAGTTGTACGTTTGCATGTGTGTATGCGTGTGTGTGTGTGTGTGCATGCATGTATGTGTGTATGCGTGTGTGTGTGTCGTATGTCACAGGAGCCGGTCCAGTGACAAAGGTAGATTTGAAGCCAAGGTCTGCGTGTGTTTTAAAGGCAGACAGCACAATGACACCAAACTGGAGTAGCCTTGTTATTTTTTCATAAATATAGCACCTGTTTCAGTGGGATCTGAGAGAAGCAGCAGCTCCAAAAACACAAAAACAACAGCAGTAACGGCTCAGATTGAGTAGGGTCATTGAAAACTGGTAGCTTTGCTTCATTTCAGCCATCTCACACCAGAGAAATGCGTCTGCTGATACTTCAGCGTTGCAGTGTTTGCTGATTGCCTGCAGGACCGTGAGGAGTTATGTGTTGTTGTCCAGATTTTCTGAATGACAGCTTTAACACTTATTCAGAAATAATACTGAGAGTTGCAGGCCAGCATTGACACTGGAATCATGGGCTTCAAAAACACGAGTGACCACAGCAAAAAACAAAAAACAAAAACAAAAACAAAAACAAAGAGAGAAAAATGTCCTCTCCGGAGAGCGCTGCCCTGAAGAACTGAGGTGAAACAAGCTGTGTGTGTGTGTGTGTGTGTGTGTGTGTGTGCGTGTGTGTGTGTGTGTGCGTGTGTGTGTGTCTTGGCAAAGGGCTACAACTCTTACTGGATAAGACATCATGATTAGACAGAAGGGCCCCCACACGGATAAACAGGAGTAAAGAGGAAAAAGAGGTGGAGGAGAGGTACTCCTCCCATTTGTTTCACTCTCCTGTTGCTGGTGTGTTCTTTCACTTTTTCCAGTTTTGAAACAACAAACTGTGAGCACAGATTCCTGCCAATGAGACTCTTCCTCCATCTCCATCACCTAGCCCATCTCCTATTGACTTCCCAAAACGCAGTATGAGATCTGCATTTCACACCTCCTGGTCCTCGAAGACCTCGAGGAAGAGCGGGGGGAAGAGTTCGTTGGGACACTCCATCTTCATGTGGAGGAAGCGGCTGGCGTGGCACGCCCCGATCATCCGCAGGTCTGTCACCTTCATCAGGAGCTTGGGCCAGAAGTGGGGAATGTTGTGCTTGCGGTAGTTGATGTAGTGCTCAAACGCCAGCAGGTAGGTCTCCTGGCACTTTTCAATCTTGTCCATACAGGTGAGTCCTGAACGGTCTGTGGAGGTGATCAGAGGAGGACAGGGTTGGAAACGAGATGGATGTTTTAAAAGTTATGGGAAAACAAGTTAACTGACGACTGAAGATGTTTGCCTTAGCCAAAACTGTATGAACAGTGAATAATGTGTCTGCAAAATTTCATTTCTACGTGTTTGTTTGTGTGTTTTATGTCTATATCTATGCTTTAAAACATTTTGGTCACGTCTTGGAGTTTTATGACAGATGAAAAACAATTACTAACTGCAGATTAAAAGTCTAAAGTCTTATATTGAGTCTCTGCCTAGCCTCTGCAGAGAAATCATATAAAGCATTTACTGATTTGTTTCTGAAAAAAAAAATATAAATCTAAAAAACAATTATATGAATTAAACATGTTTCAAAATTAGTGTAATAATTACATGATAAATTCTAATTTGTCTTAGGGATTGATTATAATTTTTTTATTGAATTGAAAGAAGCTACATCTGTCTAAACATTGTTGGTTCACGTCTGTTGGTACACCCTAGAGCAGCTGCGGCTACACAGTGTCCCCTTTAACGTGTGGATGTGTGTTTGTGAACTGATGAATGATGATAGTGTAAAGCGCTTTGGAGTCCTCTGACTCAAAACAGTGCTTTACAAGTTCAGGTTATTTACCATTTATCAAGCCAGAGCCAGCCAAGCACTGAGGAGATGTAAAACCTGAGCTTGGAACATGAACTTTAAAGAGGATTTAAATGAGGTCATTGTTGCGTTCATTTTCTTGCTGTTTAATGCCGCATAACCCAGTTTAATGTATAAGTACATCAATCATAAATGCACTTTGCAACTGTAATTAGAGGTGGCACTCCGCGTTTGAATCAGGAGGGATCCATCCAGTTTGACAAAAGCAGAATTCTGTCAGAAAAATGGGTTTTAAGCTGATTTGTGAAGTGGAGTCATGCAGTTGCAGGGAGAATAAAGCAACTACTGCAGGTGGTAGGGAAAAAAATAAACCCACCCTGGGATATAACAACTCCTCACAGTTATTCAGAGCACATCACAGAGAGCTTGAAACGATGCGAAACCCAGTGGCTGCAACATAATGATGTTGATCTTTGGAAGCTATCTGGTCTAAGTGGTTTGTGAAAAGCTCTAAAGTGCTACTTGATGCAAGCACCAGTTACAAGTTCAAATATTAGGTGGTATTAAGGTCAATCTCATTTTAGCTCTCACACATGGGAATGTCCCAAACCTTTTAGGATGTAGGATACTGAAGTCCAATCATGGTCTTTAAGGACCATTATCCTTTTTCATTCACCCACTGAGGCAAGGAGATGTGCTGGAGCAGAAACACAGACAGAGTTGCTCTATGCTGGTGCTTGAGGACCATTACTTGCTAGCTTTCGGTTCCCCTGCACCAACACACATAGAGGTGATTCAGTCATTGCATCAGCTGTGTTGGAGCAGGGGAACAACTAAAACATGTTGGATAGTGGTCCTGGAGGACCGCTGATACAGTGTGTCCTTCATCTAATCATTGTATTAAAAATATCACACACAATTGTCAAAATATACATTTTCTGTGTTTTGGTGTCTCAGCCACCATTGCCTAATCCTAATCCTAACCCAGTGGGATTTGGATATACCTGTGAATGCAGACAAATTAGCTGGTTTGTAACAACAAGCAGAGTAAAGGCACTGGCATAAATCAGCTTCAACCTTTACAACCACGTACCAGAGCTCATGAGAAGAACGGCCTGCAGCAGCGCCACCTCCGTGTCATCCAGGTTGAACTGTGCCAGACTTTTGCCTAAATCAAAAATGGCGTCAGACACGATGCCCAGCCCTCCGTTCTTCAGCTGCTCTCGCTTCACGGCCATCTCTCCACTCAGCGTCAACGTCTCGCTCTCGGGGTCATAGCGGATGGCGGCTCGCAGAGACATGATCTCCATGCAGCAGCCCTTTAACAGGATGATCTGGTCTTCACAAGGCAGCTGGTGAACAAACAAAAACCCATGTTTACCATTATTTTATCGGAATTTAATCAGCTTTCACAAAATAAAAAAGGAAGAGACAAAAAAAAATCTAAATGAAAACAAACCCTGTGGGATGAGCACTCTGACAGTAACGGTGGGGTTCCCCAGGGCTGTGTTCTAGGTCCTTTTTGGTTCTCTGTTTACATGTTTATTTAAATTCAATTTAAGTAAAATTTTCAGGAAATGTAACGTAACATCTGTGTTTTGTTTGTAAGCAAATGTTTACATTGAGTCTCATCAAACGATAAAGCTAGGTATCATCTAATATCAAAACCCCAACTGGAGCAGATGGACAACTTGCCAGTTTTTTTTAAATTCTTTATAAATTTCAGCCCTTTTTTATGTTTCATATTTTTAATTAGATAATATTTGTTGTTTGTTGTCGTAAAAAGTAAGATTCAAACAGTTGAGTTAGCGAGCATCATCCATTTTCTAAAACAACAAAAGATAATAAAAGGGATATAGTCCAAAATATCAAGCTACTAGTCACATTTATAAATAAAAGCACAAAACATCTAATGGATTGTTTTGTTAGTAGTCAATACAGACGTGTCTTCATTTCATCCCATTTAGAAAGGTTCACATTGTGGGCGGATGCAAGCAGCGAAAAACTGGCATCAAAATCAACTAAAATTTTAATAAACAACCAGACAGAAGAAAAACAGAAAAGTGAGGAAGAGGAGGAGAACTTTGAAGATAGATTAAAATGAAGCAGGAATTTGTTTTCACTAATGAACACAGATCATTTCTAAAACAGCCTGATTTACAGGGATATTAGACTCCCTCTTAAAACTCATTTAAATATATCTGCAGAGTGAGTGTGCTGAATTAATCTCACCTCGATGGAAGCTCATTTCCTACCGACGGCTGTGCAGATTAATTGGCCTTCACTGCGTTGGTTTGTCTTGTAAATGTTGTAACCGAAGCTTAAACTAAATGCTTGTGATGCATTCACAGCGGAATTAGTCTGAGAGGAAAGCTGCAGATTAATTTTACAGACTAAATGACCGCTGACTCGGTTTCTGTGAAGCCTTATCAGTGAGTTGGTGCAGCAGCATGAAGAGATCTCATGTTAGCTAAACAGGTTCTCATCTTTCATCTGATTACAATGCCTTCTTTAATAATATCTGTTATATTGGAAACAGATGATTATGTGTTTCTGGGTCTGGAATACTAAACTCTCCTTATCTGTTAAAACTTTAATCTGAAAGCAAATAACAGAGCTGTGTAGTTTGAATACAAGTAGAATGAATTAGACTTTTAAATAATTTTAAATAAAAAATCCCCTCCAAGTGGGGAGCATTGGGGCGGCAGTAGTTCAAGAGGTAAAGCGGATAGTCCAGTAAATGGAAGGTTGCAGGTTCGATCCCGGTTCTGGACAGATAATGCTGCCGTTGTGTCCTTGGGCAAGACACTTAACCCATCTTGTCTGCTGGTGGTGGTCAGAGGGACTATTGGTGCCTGTGATCAGAAGACTCGCCTCTGTCAGTGCGCCCCAGGGCAGCTGTGGCTACATTGTAGCTCATCACCACTAGTGTGTGATCGTGTGTGTGAATGGATGGATACACTGTAGTGTAAAGCGCTTTGGAGTCCTCTGACTCTGAAAGGCGCTACACAATTGCGGGTCATTTATCATTTCATTTGGTTTATGTACCTAAACACATTAAAAGTTGGAACTTTTCCTCTTCTGTGACTCATCCTATAGCAGATTCACGCTGAGGCAGCTTGTTGACTGCTGCTGTCCCCCCAGACTAAAATGCACCCAACCTTATAATTAACCAATCACACAACATCTCATTACAAGCAGCAAAGACTAACACATTTGCTAATTGACACAGCAGAACTAACTAAAGATGCTCTTGGGTTTGTTTTCTGAGACATGCATTTACTACAGAAACAAGTGTTCATTATCATTGTTTAACCTCAGGAATGGATTCTTCCAGACATTTTACACTAATGAAATCCCTCTGTCTGATAGTATTTGAGGTCATATTTTAAATAAAAATCGTAGCTTGTCCCCTCTCGTTTAATAATACATCTGCAGTGGTCTCTAATAGGAATGAATGCCTTTTAAGATGGGGCGACGGTGGCACAGGAGTTAAGTGCTCGCCCCGCAATCGGACAAATCAGTTTGTCACTGTCGTGTCCTTGGGCAAGACACTTAACCCCCCTTGCCTGCTGGAGGTCGGAGGGACCGGTGGCGCCTGTGTACAGCAGACTCGCCTCTGTCAGTGTGCCCCAGGGCAGCTGTGGCTACAGCGTAGCTCATCACCACCCGGGTGTGAATGGGTGAATGACTGAATGTGTTGTTAAATGCCTAGGGGGGTTCCAGGACTCCAGGTGCTATATCAAATACAGGTAATTTACCATTTGACTCTGGGTACAAAAAGCCCTGGTGCGCCTGTTTCAGGATCTAGAAGGATTTAGAGGAGAGCTTCTGACGACAGGAGTTGTACTTCCTGATATTAGACATCTCATCTCTGATTGGCTGACAGCAATGCGACTCTACCACTGACTCGGCTTACTTTGCAAAGTTGATGTTTTATCTTCTCGCCTGAAGGAGTTCTGCTGTGTGGTGGAGTTGTTAATGCTAATGGTTAGCTTCTACTAGTCAAGGCGCTTTCTTGTGAGTCAAGAGCTGAATGTTAAGTGTCTGTGTGACGTAGATCCATCAGGCTTTTCAGACCCCAGAGTTCCACCTTCTATTTTCTATCAGAAGCTAATGCAGGAGATAGGTGTAGGAGACTATTTTCATGTTCAGCCTGCATGAAAAACCCAGAGTGACCCATTATTATCAGAGATAGCCATTAAAAATGGTTTCTCATTGAACCACATCTTCACTGAACAATGAGCTAACACTCACCTCAGAGAACATGGGCAGTTTTTTGGCAAAGTCGACGACACGGGTGATGGCAGGGGTGATGATCTTTGTGAACTCGCTGAAGGCCTCCAGGTCTACCTTGTCCCTGTCTGACGTGGGAGTGACCGGAGACTGGCCGATTTTGTCTGGCTGCATGGGAAAATGCAAAAAATTAGTGCAATAAATAAATTAAACAGAATTAAATGTTACTGCATGAGAAGCCGATCAGAGACACAAGATTCAGGAGGTTAAAACAATGTCACACAGAAAAATAAAATGAAGCTGTAACCATTTGCTTCTTTGTTATTTTAGTATTTATATTTCAGTGTCAGGAACATGCATGTCCATAGAATCTGGCGCCAGAGCTCGCTAGATAATCTTCCAAATATTTCTACAAAATCTGCAGTGCCACGCCCGGATCTTGTCCTTCACATGAGCACTCAACAGCAGGAAGACTCAATGCAAAACAAGTTCTAACAGAACATGATGTGATAATATTCACTGCAGGTATTTATTCAGAGCACATCAGATGGTATACAAGGCTTTTTACATTTCCACATTGATTACTGCTGTGGTCGATATTCATCAAATATTAATGACTGAGTGGGAAGCATGGAGAACTTTGAAGGAAAGTGTTTGAAATACAAAACTTTCTAGATATTATAGATGAAAGCTGGATGGGAAAGTCCAGAGAAATCTAGTCCTTCAGCTGGATTTCCACTAGTTTTAAGGTCATTTTAGACTTTTTAGTACAAAAATGGCCTAGAGAGTTTAACAAAATACAAAAACCAACCAGTTCTTATGTTTTGTTTTATAAATATACATTTTGAGTTTTCAAGTTTGTCTGGGGGCTGCGTAGTGGCGCAGTGGTTAGAGCTGTTGCCCTGCAGCAAGAAGATCCTGGGTTCGCTTCCCGGCCTGGGATCTTTCTGCATAGAGTTTGCATGTGCTCTCTGTGCAAGCGTGGATTCTCTCCGGGTACTCCGGCTTCCTCCCACAGTCCAAACACATGACTGTTAGGTTAATTGGTCTGTCTAAATTGTCCTTAAGTGTGAGTGTGTGTGTGCATGATTGTTTGTCCTGTGTGTCTCTGTGTTGCCCTGCAATGGACTGGCTCTCTGTCCAGGATGTACCCTGCCTGATTGCCCATTGACCACTGGAGATAGGCGGTCAATGGGCGATAGGCGACCCTACATGGGCAAAGCGGGTTCAGACACTGGATGGATGGATGGATGGATGGAAGTTTGTCTGGTACATGCTCCAAGCTGTTGTGTAATCCTTTTACTAACATTAGCAGAAAGGACATCTGACAGCATTAAAGCAACACTAAGCAGTTTTTACACTTCAAACCATTCCTTAAAAAGTGGGGTTCAGTGATTGTGTTGGTAGAAACTTTACCAACTTCACATGGGACAGCTGAAACAGATTAGAGGAGCGGGTAGGTGCCCTATGGGGAGCTATTTAACTGCTTATCAGTCGTTAGCTATTTTCTGTGCCAGTAGCTAATAAAAGGTTAGCAGTTAGCTTTTTCAGTCTGGCGACCGTCAATAAAAAAACCCAAGAGAAAGAAAAAAAGAGACCTTTTTCTGTTTTTGATGGCATTATGCGAAGCCTGGAAGTAAAGGTCCGAGAATTACGAAGGGGTGATGGTGACCTGGCTTTGTTGCTTCTGGACTTGTAAGTAATAATTTTTGTCCAACAGTGTGGCTTATTTATTAAGACTTGGCTCATGCTAGGGTTGTGATATACTTGCAGTTTGGGTGGGTGGGCACAATCAAAACAAACATGGCGTCAATAGAAGAGATCAGTAACTGGTTAATTTTGATATCATGACAAAAATAAAGCAGCCGTATCGTAGATAGTGTGAAAGACCTTAAACCAGAGATGGTCATCGTGGTGAGTGTGTCTCACTCATTTTGTTCAACTCCACCTACTGGTTACTTGTATATTACAGCGTTCGGATGCAGCGCGTTGATTCTGGAGGATGTTCACAAACAACGCTTCAAATCAACACAAGTAATGTTTTTGGCCATTTTAAACACATGTTTGCTTTGTTAAACAGCAAGCATATCAAGGCCCTAAGTGTTAGCTCGTTGTTAGCGCTAGCTACAGCAGGAAGGTTGTTTATGACAGTTGTACTTCTGGTTTGAACCAGTAGGGTGGAGTAACTGTAAACAGTTTAGTGTTACTCTAAGACATCTGAGTGTAAAAATTATGTTTTGGCCAACTATTGGAACATGTTTTTAAGCCAAACCCCCCAAAATACTCACTTTCTAATAATGAGGAAACCAATAGTGGATAACTACAATGATTGATTTTAGTTCTCTCAACAAACTAAAACCAGTTGCACAAGTAAAGCAACCAAAACTATTTCAATAGGAAGGATGAAATGTACTTCCAATTGAGCTGATACATCATGGGACATTCATTTTTGTCACAGTGTAACAGCCAAAACCCTCAGACAGAACTGCAACACATGGAATGAACGTGTAAATGCAACATTAAAATAAAATAAAAAAAGCAAATAATTAATGGACATACAAATTTAAGACATGCCTAACAGTCATTGAAGACCTTGTCTGCAGATCTATTTAAAACCTGTAGATCCTCCAGAGGGCAGAATGTGTGTATGGGATGGGATATGGCAGGTTTGTGATGAAAGTACTAATCCTAATCTCCACCTGGATGCTTCAAGGCCAGAAATGGTCTGCTGTAAATTTGCGACCACCAAGAGTTTAATTTAAGACATTTTAAACTGTGAAAACCCTGTTTGGGGAAAATGTCTAGAAAGTACTAGAGGGGTTTTAGCAATTTTAGGTGGATTTAACTCTCAGATGAAAAACCATCAGATGAAAAAACAAACAAAAAAACAAAGAAACACTGCACAGATAAGTAATGCATGCATCAACCGAGGTATAACTGTGTAAACTGTTGTTTCAAACTCCTGTTTGAAAAATCCAAAGACATTGTCATTTACTCAAGCTGGTCTCTTGCCATGAGTAAGATAAGAAATAATCATTTCAGTAATTCATTGACCATAAAACAGGACGACCTGAATCTCCCGGACATTCCTCCTGTCTGTGAACGTTTGTGGAAAATCTAAATATTGTAATCATGACTTTGATGGATGAAACTCTTGTTGTCCAAAAGCCAAAGCTAAGCTAAGGTTTTATTGATGGACTTTGGGACCATTTTTCATTTGGCTGTTGAGAAAACAGCAGTCTCGTGAGAGACGGGGAGAACAGCTGAGGTCCATAAATGCTGAATGCATAAGTGGACTCGATCCAGAGAAATTCAGTCTTTAACTCAGATTTCAAACTGTTTAATGGGTTCTGGCAGCAACACTACGCATTTTCCAGCAGAATGTGATGAAGTTTCAAATTGTTACAGCTAAGTTTGTAGATTAACCGTATTAATCCAGGCACTAATCCTGGAAGTAGTCTTTGGTTTTGTCATGCAATTCTCCAAAGGAACCTAATTTCTTACATTAACTCAAAGTCTGGACAAAATAAATAAATAAACTATAGCAGGGAAAAATTCCCACGAGGACAGGCATCGTGCTCTAATTGAGTCCATTTGGCCTGTAGAAGGGAAGGGACCTGAGAAATCAATATGAATTAGTTTAGAGTGATCTCTGTGATGAAATGTTTTTATTCTGATGAGTCTCTTAGAGGATGAAAATGACCCCTTTCATGGGGCCTTAGGGGTCATTGAGATCTGCTGTAGCCTTCAAACAAACAGCAAAACTCCAATATTAACAACCATAGGCCTGGCTTCTCTTCAGGCTGAGTGCAAAGCCAACATCCTCATATGTAGAGAAATAGATGTCTGCAGGAGGCCATGCAATAAAGCAGAAATGTTTTCAAGGGCTCTCGATTTTCCTGTGTGAGTCACGAAGCCTCACTCTATGTTGCTGGAATTTTAAACCTTTTCAAAGGATTTGCAGCACAAATCTTTACTCTAAATGGAAAGTCAGCACAGGCGCCTCTTCTCGACTGTCTCCATTAGCCAAAAGTTCAAGGAGTGTGAGATGGCAAAAGAGAAGCTGTGGTAAAATTACAAATAAAAAGAAGGTAAAATGTGGGGGAAATGAAGACGTTTCGTGATGAGTCCTTCTGCACATTTTTTGCACTGTTTTGTTCCTGTAGCTGCTTGGTCATAATGTTTAATCAGTTAGTGTTTGTTTGAAGGCAGCAGGAGATCAGCAGGTAGAGCAGGTTGTCCAGTAATCGGAAGGTTGCAGGTTCAATCCCAGCTCCCACCAGCGAATTCTGCTGTTGTGTCCTTGGGCAAGACACTTAAACCCCCTTGCCTGCTGGTGGTGGTCAGAGGGACCGGTGGGGCCAGGGTACAGCAGCCTCGCCTCTGTCAGTGTGCCCCAGGGCAGCTGTGGCTATGTCGTAGCTCATTCCCACCAGTGTGTGAATGGGTGAATGACTGATTGTGTTGTGAAGAGCCTTGGGGAGTTGTAGAAACCTAAGAAGCTGCTATACAAACACAGGCCATTAACCATTTAAACTACAATGTGAATGTTAGAAAAATATTTCTTTGACTTTTATCCTAAATAGGCTTCATGTTAGGACATTGTATGGTTGTCCTCATTGACTTTATGATAAAGGTCATTCTAATCACGACTAACTCCGCTGGAGTAAATTAGAAACAGGTCCAAAAATCGGGCAAAAAATCGAAAATGTATCATTATCAACATTTCTGACTCTTATCGAGATCATTTTTCACACGTCAATAAATGTGATAATAAAAAATAAAAAGTTGTGTGTAGGCTGACAACATTCATGTCCCTTTAAGAAGCTGTACCACCTTGAGTCCCATAAAAATGTGACTCAACGTAATACATGTGACAGCCCCATCTAGTGGGCAACTCTTGTTTCTGCACAAACCTGAAGTTAACATCCATTTATCGTTATCGAGATGAAATCCTCAATATATCGTGATAGTGATTTTAGGCCACATCGCCCAGCCCTAGTCCAATCTAAAATGGAAATGCACATTTTATGCTTCATAGTGTCAGAAAACTTGGTTGTTTTAAGACAAAACATTTTGTTGATCAAGATGTACAGTTCTGAAGATATTCATTCAAAATCTTCAACTATCTGCATGAAAAATGGTAAGGTGAACACAGATCATAGTAAGCACTCTAGTGCTTTTATTATGAAAGCTGTGCTGCAGTAATCTGAGTGTGTTTTTGTCTGAAGAGGAGAAATAAGAGACACGACTACAACTCCAGGAAGCAATTGTGTTAAATAACAATTTTAATTATTGACAAAAGTACGGTGTAAGTGATTTTTCTGTAGCCAAGCAGCCTTAAATGGTGGTGAACAGTGGGAATCCACCTTAATGCATTGAGATGGGGGAAACCTAAAACCTCAGCCTAACATTTTATGTGCTGACCTCCCACTGTTTTTCACATGCATTAGTTAAGAAAAGCTTGTTCCTAAAAAAGCTGAAAGAAAAAAATCTTGTTTCACATCTGCTTTTAAAAACTTTGGTGAGTTTTACTGTGAGATACTAAGGATTTTGGCTTTCATACTCAACTTTAACGCCAAAAAAAAATCCTATAAATGACATCTTTCCCAGTGATCTACAGACGTCCAACCCTCAGCTTGTTTTTATTTTTGATAAACAGGACAGATATCAGAAACTACAACCCACTGAACAGACCAATGAGCAGCATTCCAAGATTATGACGTCTAACGAGGGCAAATCCTGCAAGTGAGTATTTTTAAAATACTGATGCTTTTAACCCAACTTCTGTGGTCAACTGAAACCAGATGTTCGCCGAATCCCTCTCGTTTCTGCTTCTGATTGTGAAGTTTGAAAACAACCCAGATTCTGATTAGCTGTGGAGAACACTGAACATTTGGTGAATGCTGTAGAGATCAACAGCTTCAAGTTCACAAGTTTAGCGCCCATCAAAGATGGGAGATTTACGTGAGCTGAAAGTCAGCAGGGAGGATTTATGCTTCAGTTGACCTCAGGAGCTGAACAGAAAGAATGGTGAACAAAAGCACACTTAACCCAGTCTAAATACTTGAAAGGCCTTTACTTTGATCATGTTTTCTGTAAAACAATAACCAATATGACTGGATGCCTTATCTGCAAAATCTTAATAACATGAACTTGTAGCAGAATTCCTTTCTAGGTCAACTACATGCTGCCATTTACTTTAGAGAACAAGCTAATCACTATATCATGGTGCAAATGGCTCATGAATAAATTTGACTGCTTCAGATGCATGGATGCGCGCGCGCACACACACACACACACACACACACACACACACACACACACACACACACACACACACACACACACACACACACAGCTGCTGTAAACAGCTGAACTTCATTTTCTCCTGAAAAAATCTGTTTCCATTCATCTGAGTCAGAACTGAAGAGAAAAAAGAAACGTGTGACTGAAAGTCAGACCAGTGCAGATTTGGCAGCAGAGATAAAGAATTAAGAACAACGTTGCCTAAACGGTTGCGACTGCACAGCACAGCACATGCAACACTCAGAGAAACTTCTCCAGCACCAAGAACACCTTCACAGGGAGGCCACCAGGACACCATGATCAGACAGCTGAACCACCCCAGCAGGGGCCACTCTAACCGTGTGGTTCGAGTCAGCCCATCTGAGTGGAGTTTCCATGCCAGAAAGCGGGAGCGCCCTTCGTGATTTTTTTACTCGTGACAAACTAGCATGAGGGGATCAGTAAACAGTGTAACGTAACCTGTACGCTCCACAGAAACACAACTCAGCTGAAACATGGTGGTGTTGCTGGGCATCCTGTTCAGTTTTATAGCTACTGTCAGGCTCTGAACCAGGAAATGGCTGCAGGCAGTGAAACAGAAAGCAAAAAACTCTGGAGCAACCAGTGACTCCGCCCCCATTAGTGGCCAGAATCACGATGCCGGCCTGACTTAGTCTTGCCAGGTACCTCAACGGAGCGGGGACTAAAAAAGGGGAGAAAGTAGAGGAAAAATACCGAGCTGTGCCCTTGCAAACTGAGGTCGGGCCGAGCTGCATCGGTCCGAGTTGCTCTGAGTAGTTCCTTCTGGAAAATCCAGCTTACGAGGAGAAGCAGTGACGAGGGATGTCCCGATACAACTTTTTCACTTCCGATATGATATCGATATTGCAGCCTTCAGTATTGACTGATACCGATATTAGTCCGATACAAAATCATACATACTTGTACCTATTTCATAATGTGGAATGTATGAAAGGCTTGATCAAGTGATATTACTCAATCGGAGAAGAGCCAATAACAGTAAGTATGAAAGAAAAATTACAATTTTTTAACCATTGGTTGGAAAAATGTGAACCTGAATGACTACTGATATTGGAGAGTTTTGATGGAGTCCGATAAAATCCGATACTCTGTTTTAGGGCCGATATTGAATGACTTCCAGTATCGATATCGGAACGGGACATCCCTAGCAGCGACACTCCTCCACGCTCTCTCCCTGGATGACTAACCTAACCTCTAACGAGGGTATTAACCAGATGCACAAGCATGATTCCCACAACGTCAGCCGGCGCCTCCCTTCCCACCAGGAGTGCTTCACATGTGCATGGCCAGTGAATGATTTGCATGCAGCTGGTGCCGCCACAAAACCACCGGAGGATTTCAAGATCACATGTAATTTTTTTCAGTTCACAGGTTAAGAAGCAAGGAGAAAGACAGCAGCATGTATCCAAAATGGTCTTTGGTTAGGGTTGAACAAGTGTAATTCAAACATTTGCCTCCAACAATCGCTCCCGCCCCACCCCTGCCAACTAGCAAACGTTCCTAGGGAAGCACGGTTATATCAACTGCTTTGGTTGGGTGGATGTTACCACCGGGATATATTTCATGCAGGTTTAAGATCTCTGATTTTAGCACTAGTGAAGATTTAAGACATATTAAACTGCAGGAGCAGTTTCTATTTATAGTGTAGACTAAGTGGAATTAAAGATGAATTCCTATAAACTAGAGACTTCCAGATCAGTAAAGAGCATTGACACATATCGATTTTTGTTTAACACAGCATTTGTAAACTAAACTGCTGCTATTAAGACATCTGTTTGCAAACACGATGTGACAAACTCAGTGATCTATGTAAATGAACTGTCTCCCTGCACTGTGATCATCTGCAGAAAAGGTGTTGATTTCATGATGTTTAATGTGCTTTATGGTGTGTTTTCTGCAAGTCTGTGCTGTTAACAAAAATAATGCACGTATCTGAATCGGCAGATCATCTTGAAGGACTTAAACCAGCTTATTCTGAAGGTCAGAATTAGCTGTGAGGGATTGAGTTAAAACGGTTTACAGGTGGAAACATTTCAGATTATTCTGAGCCCAAACATGAGGTTAATATCCGTATGACCCTGATAGGACGGAGCAGGATACATGTGAGAGCTGCAGGAAAAATGAGTCTGTGTGTGTGTGTGTGTTTCTGTTTGCCAACTTGCAGATGACAGATCATGACGGAGGATTTGTTTTGGCTGAGATAAAGAAGCTTACAGAAAGCAGACGGTCAAAGAAGTGAGGAGTCTGATGGAGGACATTAAGAGTCAGAAAAGAAAAAAGAATGACAGGAAAACAAATTTAAGTGTAAACACAGACGAGGAGTGAATCGAACCCATTAACAGAATTGGTTAAAAGCCCAGAAAGATTTAACTGAAAAAAAAAAACCCGCTACAGCATGACAGCAGGCTGTCAAACACAGACAGGGACAGTAGCAGACACGCAGAAACGCAATTAAAAGCCGAGCTTTTCCAGATAAAATCACGAGATGATGGATTTAATCCTTATTTATTTTCCCTGCTGGATCTTACCAGGAATTTGCGTTTCTGTTTCCACTGTGCACCCTGAGCGTTGGTGTGCCGATGGGCCTCCGTCACATGGTGAATCAGGTCCCACTCGTCCACAGTTGGTTCCGGACGGCTCTGAAGGGTTTTCACCATTTCCTCCTTTTTGCGTTTCTCTCTGTTCTCCTCGATCAGTCTCCGCTTAGCCACCCGCTTTGAGTCGTCCAGCACCACTTAGAAACAAACAAACAGCACGCGTGTGTCATTGAGCTCAACACAAACCTTATTGTTGATAGTAACACTCCTTTATCTGACATTTTTTAGATGTATTTGATGGCGTGCATCACTCACAGTCCATGGCCATGCCCACGGCGATGCACTTCTTAAAGCGGCACAGCTGGCACTGGTTGCGGGTGATCTTGTCGATGATGCAGCAGCCATCGTACTTACACGAGTAGGAGGGGTGGAGGTTCTTCTGAATGGTCCTACGAAAGAAACCCTGCAGGCAGAATGAGGAGCAGAGACAGCGATGAATGGCTGCTTCAGGCAGAGTGACAGTCAGTGACATGCAGAGGATGGCAAAAGCAAAACAGCAGAGGCAGGAATGAAAGGGATGAAGGACGAGAAAAGGACACGTTCAAATGAAAACGTCAAGTCCAACTCATCGTCTAGCAGCTTGGTGAGGACAGGAACAATCTGCAGTGCTGCTGCATTCAACTTCTGTAAACCCTCTCACAGAAGCTGTTGGGAATAGGTCAACAGCAGTCGAACTAGTAAGTCCCACTTCTTGATCTTTGAGTGAACAAAACAAAAGTACAGGAGCCAAAGGGGTCAAATGGGATCATTATTGATGTGATATCGAAAAGTATTCTCTTCCTGAGGGACAATAAAATTACTTTTTAGGTATTTTGGTCAAATACATCATCCTTCCTTAATCCTAACCCTGATCTCTTTTGTTCTGCTTCAACATGACAAATGGGCATGTGTCAGCATGAACAGATGGAACATGAAAACACTGACTGTGTAGTGTGTGTGTGTGTTCAAAGCCCTTGTCAGATGCGTAAGAGTGTGTACTCTGCTTCATGTCAGACGCGGTTTATGATCTGATTGAATCTTGTAGTGTACCTTGCAGCCCTCGCAGGTAATGCAGCGGTAGTGGTAACCAGTGGCTTTGTCACCACAGACCACACATGGCTCATCCTTTTCGAGGTAGCTGGGGATGTACCCTGAAAAACAGGAAGCGGCGGAGTGTAAAGGCAAAGCATTGTGGGAAACATGTGGTCTACTCAATGGAAATGTCCGACTGACACAATTAGCTTTTCTTCCAGAAACAGCGGAAAGTTAAATTCTGACTTGGTTTCTGCGGCATCGCCTCTCGGAGTCAGTTACCATGGTAACCAATCTTTATGTCTTTGATCCTTCGTGCTGAGCCTGAAGCTGCTGTCAAGACATAATTTCTTGTTTGCTCATTTATAGATTTGGAGTTAAAGCACCTGAGAGAAATCGGTTTCTGCTGCATGGAAATGTAAATGTTTATTTTTCTGTCTAATAACTATTGTCAGATCAGCCGGACTCGTGATCAATCTATCACCAACACAAATTCACTTACAGGTAAATCTGGATCATTTCCTGCTCTGATTAAAATCACACCCTTCAAATCTGACATTCACAATCCACCGCAGGAAAACCTGCAGGGCAACACCTTTAGTTTCTCACTGAGGGGAACCACTAACATTCCTGATATTTGGTCCTGCGCGGTTCCTCGGGTCTGGAAGAGGAAACGAAACAAACTGTTTGTGTAGATCCTTCTGCAGCAGGCGTGGCGATGCTCACTGAAAAACCACAGACATCTGTGATGCTGGATGTCGTCAGATGGGAATAAAGCAGAACTTCATAAGACACTTTAGAGTACTCTAGCACATTTTATCACTGTAGACTATAACAGAATATATCACAAGAGTTTTCCAGTTCTGCAGACACACTGACGTTTGGCGCGTCACAGACTTGTGCTGATTGGTCGAATGATGCCATGGTGCTAACTGGGATTAGCTTGATGTCTGATGCTAGGTGAGGTGAAAACTGCAATGCTAAGAGTCCGTGAAAAGTAACAGCGACATAATTTATGATGTGAGTGGAAGTGTCTAAATATAGACGCTGGCCCTATAAATGATTAACAGCAACTCTCAATGATCGGTATCTGCAGAGGCAACCACCTAAATTAGGCAGTCGGAATCAGAATAGGTGAAACCTCTGGCATGTGAATGACAGCCGTGTGTCTTCAAACCTTTCTAATTACTCCTCTGAAATTATAAGATCCTAAACATACTCCAAGTCTTTTAAAATGTCAAGAAACATAAAAAAGGTACTTCCTATTGGACTGTTTGTCATGTTTTTAGGTGAAAGCGCTGGCTGACAGGACTTAGCCCTGTAGTATTTCCTCTGCCTTGAATGGGGGAGCAGAACGGTTGGTTCTACTTCTAGACGGCCCGTGAGATCAGTGAGAACCAGGGAGTTTGCTCAGAGACACAGGAAATGGCAGATTTACAGACATATATGTAGCTAAGGAGCTGGGAGAGGAGGAGAGGAGATGGTTCACTGCAAGTCACAAATAAAGTGTGTGTGGGAGTTTGAGCGCAAATGCTTTATACGTGTAGAAAAAGCATGGTGCTAAAAACAGGGAGAAACACTTATTTGGAGGTTGTATTTACTATCCACCACACAATGATAAGAGGGATGAATAAGTAAAAACTATTTAAAGCATGCAGCAACAGAAATAAGAGCGAGAGATCCTGCAGCAGAAAATGGAGTTTCAGATTACAGCAGGATGGGAGTAACAGAGAAATGCAGATTTATTGAAATAAATGTAAGATTGTGTCAAAAGTCATAATGATGATGCATGTTACAGTTTCTGCAGCTGTTAGAGAGAGAATATGAGAAGTTTGTACATTTTCATCTGATTTTCTTTGACTAAACTGTGTAAAAGTGAGGCGCAGTGAGAGCTGTGACTGGCGGTGACTGTTGGGCTCAGCTTTTTGGCTTTGTTACAGATTTTAGAGGAGGAGGAGGAGGAGGAGGAGGAGGGGCAGTGCTAAAGATGATGGTGGGAAACAGAGAACAGAAGAGCAGAGAGCCGAGGGGGCACAAGCGACATTTTAGCCAAATTGATTTTGATAATACCATCGGGAAGCTGCTGAGCTCATGCAGATAACAGCAGTTACAACAAGAGTTTAATTAAAAAATGAAAATAATAGAATAAAGTGGGAGGACCTGAGAGAAGAGGGTAAAGATGAGGCCACGAGAGAAGCAGCAGCAGGCGGATCCCCGAGAGCTGCTTCAGAAGCCAAGCCCCAAATCAATACTACTGCAGCTCTCTGGATCCGGCTGCCCTTTCCTCCCTGCAAAAAGAAACCAGCCACCAACAAAGCCCACGAAGAAGAACAGGATCGTCCTAATGTCGCAGGCGGGAGAAATGTTTTGTTTTCACAAATTTCCCGACACGACAACTGTTTTCTTATTTTTTTCTTTGTCTCATGGAAGCGTGCAGATCGAAACAGCACGGATCGGGTTTCTAAAGGAGTCTCTGGGATGTCTCTCCGAGGTCTTTACATGAAAACAGCTCAGTGATTTGATATCTGAGACTGTAAACACCCAGGACATTAGGGGGGAATGCAAACTGGGCACTGTCCTCTGTTCCCATTCCCACCTAGAACTTTATGAAAGGAATAACTTTCATAACTTCCTTTTTGAAAGGAATAACTTGAGCCTTTACTGTGAAATAAAAGTTTTTCCAACTTCAAGCTCCTGCAGCACAGTGTCTGATAAAAGCAGGCAGCTAAATAAATAAATAAAATCATAGCCCCTTCTTTCCTGCTTTCTATTTGCAACAAGAAATAAACTTTGTTACTGGAATTCATTTTAAATGCATTCATTTTTTACTTATTAATTAAATTGCATATTAATTCAATTAGGTTATATATAACCTAGTACAAACTTATAAATATATATAATATACATATAATAAAAATAAACTTTTTTGAGCTTTTTGCCATGTGTTGTTGTCATTCCTCATGAGAAATTAGCTTAACGTTATGCCTGCATCCAGGAGAAAGTAGCCCAAGTGCGTCATCAGGCATTGACTTGGAACCCACCTCCCCTGGAAGACGCTCACTGATGCCTGAGTTCTCCTAGTTACAAACGGCTGATTTCATGCTGCAGTTGAGAATGTGACTGCTTTAAACCTCCACCGGTACCAGAGCGGATGTTCTGACAAATGACTTCTGCATTGGGGACAATTAAAACACCGCTGTAAAAACCACGAGTCCCGTCCACAAAGACACATTTAATGGCCAGCATAGGACATGCGTCTTAGGCGAACAGACTTAGTAGCCTAGCGGTTAGAGTGACTGACCAACATGCTGTTTTACACCAGTTCGCCTCCCGATTGCAGCAGTAATCTTTTTACTTCCTTATAGCTACATGTATGATGTTTTCAACCCCTTATTGGGAAAGCTGTTTAAAATACAAGAACTAATCTGTTTTTCCCCCCACTTTCTTGTTTATTTAGCCAGTGTGAGTCCATCACCCGAGTAAATCAACTAAAATGCTGCTTGGAAAAGACTAAATTCAAAGATCTTTAGAGACACAAAATATTTAGCAGAAAATTATAAATACCCCCCCCCCAAAAAAAATTAATGAAATCTGCTTCAGCTGGCTAAATAAATAACTGTCCACAGAGAGTCAAACCCACATCAAAAGGCAGGCACCTAAACCACGGGACTACCAAGGCCAACACAACAGCAGCATAGCCTAAGACGCTGTTGTGGGGGTGTTTTGTCACAGTAGGCGAGGGCGGAGCTTCACTGAAACAGACTGTTTTATTTCCAGGTATAAATTCAGGCTGACAAAAATAACTTGTATTTAAGATAAATGGCATCTCTATAGTGCACACAGAAATATATGTTGTGCCTACCTTTGCTCTCAAAGATTTAAAATAGCATGAACTGTTTCCTTTGAAGCAGAATAGTATCACTGGTTTACTTAATTATGATCCAACGCTACATCACCCTCTATGTTTTACTACAAGGATTTGGAAACATGTGTGTTAACTCATTCACTGCCAGCCGTTTCCTGATCACTAACGGCCTTCGCTGCCAGCGTTTCTCACCGTTTTTACAGTTTTTTTAAGAGTCAAAGAACGTTGCGCGCTAGCATGATGTCGATGCCAAAACAACCAAAACAAAGAGGAGACTCGCCTCTTACATCAGGAAGAGTCCGCGTGTTTTGAGCGTTATCCGTTCTTTCATAATCCGCTGTCGAATTGTGATCGGCAGACGCTTTTCCGGTTCGCGCCTCACTTTTTTTTACAGGAACGGCCCAAAACGATCTCCTAACACATGGATGTGCTGCTTCCTGATCATGTGATCTGTGACGTATGCGGATGGAGATCGGCTTCAGGGCTGAGATGTTTGTTCTCTCAGCGCGGGGGGCTCGTTCCGATGCTCAAACAGTAAAAAAATGCAAATGACGACTTTAGTCGTCATTGGCAGTGAATGAGTTCATATTTATTAGCTTACAACACAATTATGGCATCTTCAATGTTTATTGTCCATTTCTTGACAGTTATGCCCATAAGAATGACATTCCAATAGGTTCCCATTTAAAACTGAACATTGCAGGAAGTATATGGTATAAATCTCCAGCAGTGATTCAAAAAGGCAGGCTGGGAGAGAAAAACATCATCTGCAACACAGTCCGACTAAATCAACATCTCAGAGGATTTTACGATGGTACTGGTGATGCTGTGTTGTTTTTAAAGTCTTTATCTTTCTGTGTTCAGCTTTATTCTCTCGCTGGTGGGGGCTTTGGATCCACAATGATCATCATCTGACACAAAAGCAGAGGGCTTTGTGTTTATCGATTGCTGAAGTTTTCTTTCGTTCTTTTCTCCTTGAAAGAATAAAGTACACAGAGTGGCATTTAAACATCTACCACCCAACCGTTCTCTGAGCAGCCAGTCAACAGCTTAGACCCACCGCCTGGCAGCTTTTCTAAAGGCTTTCTGAGAATTTAAAAATGAATCAGTCAGGTGTCCTCCGCAAAATCCTCCAAGAGCAAATTTCAAAGATGAGTAGTTACCTGCACTCAAAGAGCTTTTATTCTCTAATGTTGAGGTATGGGGACCCTGAAATCTTCTGCCTTCAGCAACAACTCAGAACCATGTCTTCTGTCTCTGCCCCTTTAGAGCTGTTTTTTATTGGAAATTCTCTTTATCAAAATACAGTTCAACATATACTCACCAGTCATATTCTTCATCGAACATTGGCTATTCTTCCTCTTCCTTTTTGGGCCATCGAGCCACCTAAAGGAAAACAAAAGAGACAAAAAAGAGAGACAGAGAGTTTTGATAAAGGTTTCAAGGCTCTCTGAGGGTCACAACTCAACAGAGAACCTCTGGGGAATTCAGATTAGAGCGTTTGGACTACAAGGAATTCACTTTCAGATCTTTTTTGACTCATTTGGCTTTATAAGGCTAACACCAAGAGCTGCTGTTTACAAGGAAGGATTTGACAAGTCCTTCATGACAGCGTTAAAAGGAAGGAAAACATCATTCTTTTCAATACCAGGTGCAAACGCAAAAGTGCATGAATTAGTGTGACATAGTGATTCCTACTTCCAGCATCAGTCAGTCACATGGGCACCATGTTTGCAACGAAAGGTGCTTCATAAATGAATATGGCCGAATGAGAATAAAAAAACATGTCTGCCATCTTTAAGTGTCCTGTTGCGTACAAACCATCTGGTGCCTAAATAATGTAAAGAAATGGGAGTCAGATTAGTCACCATTCATACAGGGAAGAATGAAGCAAGAACATATGAAGCATCTGTCACACATAAAGAGGCTTTTATTGAAGTAATTGGGTGCATTTTAGCAGGAAAAGCTTTCCTTGTCACAACTTTCTCTAACTAAATTCATTGTTAGGAAAATGCCCAGCTGGAAACACACAAACAAGCCTGCAAAAGCACTCCAATGACACGATTACACCTGGGAACATCCTCACGACAACACAGAAGAGACACAACAGGGACCTGCACTCAGCAGAGACACACCTGAAACCACACAGACGAATCAGAGGCTTTCTGGAAAAGACTGGCTCAGAGGGGAATCGTTACAGCACAGGGATGGAGGAGGTTGTGGTTCCGCATGTGACCGAGTCGCTGAGTGTCAGAGGCGTTTACGATGCTCAGGGTGCAGCTGGACCCACGCGAGCCTTATCGTGAACGGCTGCAGAGGGAACGGGACTCCATTAGCACCACAGATACACGGTTCAGCTCCGACCGCAAACTCGGACCTCCTTTTACAAGTGCTCTGTGATAAAGCATCCCATTATGAGTTTCACTAACAGATGAAAGGACGACCCCTCGGGGGCTCGGTTAGTAAGACTCAGGCTTCTCACTGAGAACGCTTGACTTTCCAACACGGCTTCAACATAACCAATAAAAAATAACCAATTTATTTATTTCATTCCTACAAATAGAACAACTGTGTGAATCAGCAAAGCTGTAAGCTGACAACATGTTTTAATTTGTTTAATCTCAAGATAGTTTGTAATTGTCACACAGCGTGGGTTGTTGCAGTGAAATGTTAAACTGATAATGTTGGCATTAAGATGTAACATCAGAAATCATCTGTATTGGTTTTTACTCTCTTAATGACAGCCTTTACAAACCATGCACATATTATTCATCAAACTCTTTATTCTTCAAAAAGTCACAATATGACATATCTGAGTGTCAGGTTGAAATACATGTAGTTATCACATTAATACTAAGTAGTTGTCATATTTTGTGCAGATAATATTAAAAGTTTAAGTATGTATGAAAGGAGATATGTGACGTTAGATACCTGAAATAACTTTTTTAAGGGAGGGGGTGCTTATAATGGTATTGGTTTATATTGGTATCATAAATTAAGAGATCCGATTTTTGTAAAAAATGCAAATATTGAACATCTCTAATAATAATAAAAATAATAAAAATACAAATATTTTAAAATATTAATCTTTAAGGATGCTCGATATTTCCAGCTGGTACTGGCCTTAACATGTATTATCAGAAATTATTGGTGTCAGTTTTTACTCATTTAATGACTAAAGTTATACGGTGCACATATTATATGTCAAATTTCTATCACGCAAAAAAACGTATTAATAAGTGATAATAATAACGCCTTACCTAATAAAATATGGAAATCTAATGAATTGGTGTTTTTATATAGTTTTTATTACTGGCTTACATGATTTTCCTAAACTAATCCATTTCCACTCTACAAATTCAAAACCACTAGTCTAAAATATGAACTACCGTATTTTCCGGAGTATAAGCCGTACCAGTCATAAAATGTATAATGAAGAAGAAAAAAACATATATAAGTCGCACTGGACTATAAGTCGCATTTCGGGGGAAATTTTGTTATTTTTCTTACAAACTCTGAGACCAAGTGTTTCACACTGCAAGACAAGTACCGGTGACAATAACAGAATAAACAATCAAGGCACAGCAGCGAGCCACGGTCTCCAGCAGAGGATGGCGGTGTTTCAAACTCTCCTAGCAGGCGGAGAGAGCTCATTCCTGGGCCGGCCCGCAGCACCCCGGCACAGGCTGCAGCAGGTGACGGCGGTGTTTGAAACCCTCCCAGCGGGACAGGGGAGCTCATTCCTGGGTCGAAGCCGCCCGGCTGACAGCAGCTCGCCACAGGCTCCAGCAGGTGATGGCGGGGCAGAGGAGTGTCATGGTCTGTGTCTGTGTCTTCCCCATGTGTCTCCTTATGTCCTCCATCCCTCTTTAGATTCCCCTTTTGGGTCTCATAGCACCCTCATGTGTCCTTTGTCTGCATCTCTGTTGTGTGTCTTAAGTTGTAGCCCCAGCCTCTTGTTCCCCAGTTCATTGTATGTGTGTATGAATTTGTGTGTCAGTATGTGTATGTGTTTGTGTGAGTTCTTCCCTTAGTCTTTAGGTTTAGTTTTGTGTTTTATATAGGCCTAGTCCACACGTAGCCGGTTTTTTTTAAAACGAATATCCGCCCCTCCAAAAACTTGCATCCACACCACCGCGTTTTAAAAACAAACTCTGTCCACACGTACCCGGATAAATACGTTGTTAAGGACATGCCAGACCTGTAGGCGGCAGTACTTCCCCCGGTCTTAACCTCGTCCTTCGTCTGTGGTCTTCCACAAGGAGCAGTAATTCCACTTGCAAAAACAAACAAGCAAAAAGCGCTTGGACAATTGATAAAGCGAGCGCAGCTCTGAGGGCATCCATGCTGTCGGCTAGTGTAAACACAGGTCGAACACGTGATGTCAGCATTTTTTGTCGCGGAAAGTGACGTTGCGGACCATAAAACTCCGGTTTTGTCTGTCCACACGCAGACTCCCAAAACGGAGAAAACGCAGATCTTCACTTTGGCCGGAGTTTTTAAAAAGATCCGTTTTCGTGTGAAAAAACTCCGTTTTTGTGTGGATGACAGGCCAAAACGTAGAAAAATATCTACGTTTTGGCAGATCCCCGGCTACGTGTGGACAGGGCCATAGTGTCAGGTTAATCTGCCCTCCACTGGTTCTCTTCCCCATCCAGATAATTGTTGTCACCTGCCTTTCCTCCAGCAGCTCACTCCGCACACCTGCTTCCTGTTTCCCTAATTGCTCCTCCCTGTCTATATAAGCTCTCCTTGTCTCATTTGTTCTTGTCGGTCCATTGTTGTTTGTCAGCGTTATTTGTTCTGTCAGTCTGCTCGTTCTTCTTGTGTGTTTTGACTCTCTGGATTTTTGGATTTTGGCTCCGTGCCATTTGGCTTTATTTTTGTTCTTCCTCAAAATAAAGGATTTTTACTTTACATATCCACTCCTGCCTCGAGTCATCCTGGGTTCTGCATCTTGGGTCCTAACCTACTGCTCCTAAACGTGACAAGGAGTTTATTCCTGGCCCGGAGCCGGTCCGCAGCAGCGCAGTATACATAATTTGGTATACAAGTCGCAGGACCAGCCAGACTATGAAAAAAAGTGTGACTTATAGTCCGGAAAATACAGTATATTTGATTTAAACACATTTTTCCGACAGTTTGTCCTGTTAATTAACAGAAATAAACTGCTAATCCTGATGTTTGGCCTTGAAGGATGAAGGACACGTCTAATACCCTTGTTCCTGAGCACGCCCCGGGCCTTGTTCACCTAAGTGAACGCTGTTCGATCCTGTGGGAAACATAACAATTTAATTGCTTGTTAAGTTCACAAGTTGCTGTAATTGAGCTCTAATGCCAACTTAAACTGCCCTTCACGTGTAACTCTACCTTTAATTACAACACAGCCTCATTCCTGCCTATGGCTCCCTTTGCCCTTTTCAGAATCCACAAGATGGATTAACAGAATTAAATGAAGCTTTTAAACAACCTATAGAGTTACAGCTTGATTTGTTAAGACTGTTGTGTTTGTAGCATCTTAATAAAACTCTGCGGATGGAGATAATGATGAATGGTGGGATGTGGGAGGATGAAAGATGCAAACTGAATCAACACTTCTTAGCTGCACCCGACGAGGAAGGAAACCCGTCTCCCAACTCGACAGAAATATTCCATTTGCTCTGAGAGTGAAAGCTGTCATGGCGGGAAAACGCTAGTGTATTATCTGTGCCGGGCATCTTCCACCTGACATGCACTGGAGGCGACATTCATCGGAATGTCAGCGGCGTGACAGCGTGCAGGGAAAGAAGAAAACATCACCACTACAGCTCTGTATCACGGAGGAAAACCCGCCAGGTAAAAATCCAGGATGCTGAAGTTTGTTTTCCCTCCTCTGAGCTGTTTGTTATACAATGGCACAACAAGCAGAGAAAAGGCCCGCGTTGACCACCCTCGGAATGAGCTTCAGCTCTAATCCTCCCGATTAAAGTCTGATCAAACCCAACATAGCACCTTAAAAAAGAATAAAGCTGACATATTGTGGAAAAGTTTCAGAGGAAACCCAAATTACAAACATAATTGGGGGCGAAAAGAAGTGAAGCAAAGAAAGAAAAGAGAGAGTGAAATCATCTCATCCAGCTGGTGGGTGTGTGGCCTCCTGGAGCACACAGGAACTTCAGTTCCTGAGTAAAAACATCATGCATAATTAATATTATGCACATCATGTGCTGCACATGCACAGACCTCAGAGGGCTGTACAGTTCCCAGCTCCTGTCTGACGGGACTGCAACACACATTAACATCCAGCAAACACAAGCTAAGGTCTCTCACACACACTTTACCTCCTCTGTAACACACACACACACACACACACACACACTGAAGCAGAACCCCGATGTAAAACAAAA